ACATTGTCACAGAAAAACTTAGAGGGATAATAAAAATTAGAGTTCAAATGTTCCTAACCAATTCCAATGTAGACTGTTTATAATTTATGTTTCAAAATTTTTCCTTATTGAAAATTATTGACTAATTTTTAAACTTCCAATTTTAGCTAATGTAAATACCAACAAATTTTCAACAATTCTTTTCCCCCTATAATGATTGGGCTTTGGAAGATTAAAATTAGTTAAAAATTATACTTATGAAACAGTTTGCCTGTTACTTTACTATTTGTCATATCCAATCAAAAGAAAAATTTCTCTTATTAGCAATGATTTTTGCTTACAATTCCTGTATCTTTAATAATTCAAAAAGGAAAAAATAAACACTGCTATTACTACAATTACAGAAAAAAAAGGAATGTATAAGAGAAACATATACTGCTAGTTTGTATAACATTTATTTTTGTTTATTTTAAAGTTGGCAGTGCAATTTAACCAAATCTTAGAAAATTATGATCTCAAAGGCTTGAGTTAAACTGAACAGAAACTTAAATGTCACTAACCCAAAGCATGCACTGCTCCTCTATGCTTGCTGGAGCTCTTGCTTGTTTTAACCGCACGGACAGCTTTTTCTTCAAACAGCATCTCACAAAATTTTTCAAGAAATTTTGCCAGTTCTTCAGTAACAGTATCCAAGTAGGTTTCTTTAATGAATTTCAATGTTGAGGATGGAGCTAAAATTTCATGTAGTATGTTAAAATCCTCTTTTATCATGGAGTACAACTTAAGCATTGCACTTTGGTATCCATGGGCTATTGTGTCTAAATTTGATTCTCGGCTGTAAGAGGGAATGAAGTTTTGCAGAAGTTCAGCCAAAAGTTTACTCTGCATGTTTTGGAATTTGACTATAACTTCAGATTCTGGATAAAGGAACAAGAGTCGTTGTATGCACTGTTTTTTCAAGAAAATTTTCTGCTGGGAATTGTTTATTTCATTATGGCTTTGTAATTTGGTCACCAGGAAGCGTCGAAGATGCAGTTTTATGTCATCCCATAGAGACTTCTCATCCGTAGAGGAAAGATCTTCAACAGAATGAAGAGAAGTTCTGGAGAGGAAATGGAAAGATGTTCCACTTAGAGTAGATGGGAGTGAAACGCTGCTCTGACAGGCCAGGTCCCAAAGTAAATCCAACATCATTTCTTCTTGATTTTGTTTAATCTTCAGCATATCTTGCTGGTAAAAGTAAATAAGAATATTAGAAATATGCTTAACTGATAGGGTAATAGAAAAAATGATTCTTATAATTATACATAACTTCATAATAGTTTATTTCAACTTCAAATCAATACTTTCATTCTCTGAAAGGATTTTTCTCCCATTTGACATAGAATCAATTCAGACATTTTATAATGTCAGTTTTGTGCTCTGCTAAATTTTGTAAGCCCAGCAAATAAACTACCTTTTAATTTGATTTTTAGACATAGGGTGTTGCCCTCATTGTTACCCACCCCAAAATAACCGGGGTTGTATGCAAGCTGCAGTTTAAAAGTTCTAAATAAAAATCTATAATGAAACACTGTTGGAAACTTGTTCCTATGACAAAATAAATTCAAGATCATGCCCCTACTTCATTCTTGGTAGATAATTTTCATGCCTGAGTGGGTACATTTATTATTATAAAATCCAGAATGAATACACATTGCTTTAAAACCTTTCTATGATAGAATAGAGACCTTTAAATATAGTATGTGCCAAGGGGTTACTAATAGCTACCATCCTGAGAAATAAACTTTAGTAAATTTAAAGATTTCAAATTTTCATTTAAATTCCTTTTTGAGAATCACGTTAAGAAAGATTTTACTTTGAAAATTAAGCTGAGAATATTCCAGTTCTCTCTAAAGAAATAAGTAACTCAAAATGGGAGAAAAATAATCTCAGAATAGTTCCCCACAAGATGATATGAAATTACTTTCTATTTTCTGTGTGGAGAAAACCATAGTGGGTTTAATTAAGAATAGCAAATGCAGGGTGGGGGGTTGGGGGACCTTCTTAAATTTGGATTTTGAATTATACCTACATACATTCTCCCTACAGGCTGACTTTCCTAATTATATCTATATTGGCTAATAGTGAAATTAATTTATATTGTGAAAGTAGAAGCAAGGTGATTATAAGAGAAATGGAAACAAGGCTCAAGTAACATAAAATCTGGCTGGCTTTGACATTTTTTATTTACAAATAATACCATAGACATGTGTGATTCAGAATTACAAATAGCTCCCAGACAAATTCTGGGAATTTTCTCTCAATCATGCTGAGAACTGCAATGGCTGATTTTAATGTTCTATCTGTAATGAATGCAACTCAGTATCTATATAGTGCTTTATTATATAAAAATCATTTTCCATACTTTTCTGATTTATTCGCAATGAGAACTGTAAAATAAACACTTAAGGATTTTTTTTTTACAGACAATAAAACTTCATCTGCTTAAGTGACTTTCCCTAAATCACTTAACAGTAAGAAAAAAAATCAAGAATTAACCCCTGCCATCATTCTCTTAGGCCATATTCTTTTTAATATACCCTCCAGGGGTCTTCAAACAACGGCCCGCGGGCCACATGAGGCCCGCCGAGGACATTTAGCTGGCCCACCGGGTGTTTTTGCCCCATTTTTTTTTTAACTTCAAAATAAGATTATGTGCAGTGTGCATAGGAATTTGTTCGTAGCTTTTTTTTAAACTATAGTGCAGCCCTCCAAAGGGTCTGAGGGACAGTGAACTGGTGCTCTGTTTAAAAAGTTTGAGGACCCCTGCAAACTAAAATCCACCCCCAAACCATGAATCAAATCAGCTCGAAACTATCCATCTTTATGGGGACAGCCTCATCTTGCTATGTTGTTGTTGTTAGGCGCCATGAGTCGGCTCCGACCCACAGTGATCCCATGCACCACATAACAAAACACGGCCAGGGCCTGAGCCATCCTGACAAGTGTTCCTATTTTTGAGCCTTTTGTTGCAGCCCTAATATCAGTCTATTTCTTTGAGGGCTTTCCCTTCCTTTGCTGTCCCTCTACTTTCCCAACCATGATGTCCTTTTCCAGGGACTGGTCTCTCCTGACTCCATCTCCAAAGTATGTCAGACAAAGTCTTTGTTTGGTGCTCTTTGGTACTGACCACTGTAAGGGGTTATAGCCTTCAATAAAAACATTTCTTTTTATCACACTTATCTCTGTTAGGGTTGCTAGTTTGCACAAACAGTTTCCCAGAAAGCCATACAGTTTTTAGAAGGCATTAATTCTGTAGATATATAGACATGATTTTAATTAAATTTAGGGGGGGGGAAATATATATTTTCTATATACCCTCAAAAAAACTAAGGGCACTGCCATTGAGTCAATGCTGACTCACAGTGAACCTACAGGACAGGGTAGACTGCCCCTGTGAGCGTCCAAGACTGTAACTTTTAACAGGAATAGAAAGTTGCATCCTTCTATTGAGGAACAGCTGATAGGTTCCAACCGTTAACCTTTGGTTAGCAGCCCAATGAGTCACCAACTACGCCATTCCTTTTTCTAGAAGACCCTTTTCCTAGAGGGTCCACAAAGCAAGTGCGTCCCTTCTGTGGCTGGTTTCTTCCATCCCCCTTCTTCTGTCTGTATCTTCTTTCCCTGCTACTTAATTCATTTGATACTTCTAAGAAAGAAATGTCATAAGGTGTAAAACAGGTCTGCATTACGGCAAATTCCACAAAGTCACTAAGGTATACTATTAGGGTCTCAGCCTTACATGTGCTTAATCAGCCAGTAACGTGATTATTTGATCAAGCAAAGACTAATAGACAAACGAGTGTTAGGTATGAATTTTTTTAAGTTTTAAGAATATCAGTATAATCATCAAAATGAGAACTTCAGGTCTTTATTCCAAAAAATAATTATTAAATAATTAACAGAAAAAAATGCCTATGAAAGAAAGTAAAAGTATGAAAAATGCTGTCACACCTCACACTTTAGCAGGCAAAAACTTGATAATAAGGTCATTTTAATCTAGCTCTGGTTTGTTTCTGTAAATAACAAGATCAAAATAACAAGACATGTTTTAAAAGCCCAGGACTGTAACAGACCTATCGATCTAATGAATTTGAGCAAAACTAAGATGGCCTTTGGCCCACAGTGAATACAGAAGAACTTAAGTGTGACACATTAAAATATAATTAAAAGCCTTTGCTTTTAATTAAATGGGAAAGCATTATTACATCAATATTAATGAAATTCAATACACATGCTTTTTAATAGAAATTAAGGAATAACTATATCCATATTTATTCTTCAAGGCTCCACCTTTAGGAGATAATGGGTGAGAGGATTTTCTTAAAAGAATAAGGCTTCAGGGCACATAGTCTTCCTTTCTCTTCCTTTTATTAATTTGTAAACATTAAAGAGACATCTGTAATAATAACAACAGCCAAAAACTATTTTCATCCTATTCTGTCATCCTAAGCCATCTACAACCTCAAGATATTTTCCACATCTGCCTTAGTCAGTGTTTGATGTTTAGACAAAAACAGTGCTTTTTCCCCTAAATTTAATTAAATCCATATCTAGTTAACTACAGAAATAACTCCTTTCTAAAAGTTGTGCAGTTCTCTGGGAAACTGTTTTTTCAAACTAGACACCCTATCAGATAAGTGTAATAAAATAAAAAGTTATTTTCAGAGGCTACAAAACCTTAGGGTGGTCAGTATCAAAGAATAACCTATGTAGTCATTCTCCATCAATTAAATACTCACTGCCATCAAGTCAATGCTGACTCATAGCAATATGCTTGTGGGTCACTGTAGAAAGTCCAGTCTTTCTTCCAAGGAGCTGCTGGTTGTTTTGAACTGCTGACCACGCAGATCACAGTCCAATACGTAACCACTACACCACTAGGACTCCATTGACTTAACTACAGTCTTATATAAATTCCTGCTTTCCTTATCAGAAAAGCACTAGCCATTACTTCAGGTTAGAAAAGCAAGGGATGACAGATAAGACTCATTTGTTGAACAGAGTCAATGAGGAGCTTACTGTGCAGAATATTGAGTATTTAGAAAATGAGTAAAGTAAGGGGGCATAAGTTAGAATAAAATATAAATTCATTTGATACATGACTGAAAAACTTGTACTTGAGTGTTCAGAATGGAGAAAAATGTTCCAGCATTCATAAATATGAAATTACTTGTATTTTCTTTAAATGCAAATTTCATCCATTTTTGTTTCATGTGTTAATGACTGGTCATTTTGTAGAACATGTGGTGTATATAGTTAATTATCCATCCAACTTAACCTGTAACAAAGGTGAATGAAAAGGCAATAGTGCCGTAAGTTTCAATAAAAATATCCCCAAGAAAAAAATAATAACTTTATAAATCCAGAATTTACTGAAAGAAAAAGGTAAATACCTTTTTTTAAAAACTGCTGCAATCTCAGGAATCAATTGTGTGGTATTACTGAGATACACAGCAACACATCTTATGGTGTTCATGTGGCAGACATCAAGCCACACATCATCCAGGAATTATATTTAATCTATAATTACATAAAATGTCATTTTGCTGATTAAAATCATAGTTAAAAAAAATAAAAATAAACAGCAATCTTTATTCCATTGGGGATCTGAAAAGAAAGCAAAAATTCAAAATCTACATATAACAGGGCAATAAAATGACCTAAAGTAAATATATATATATATAGAAAAAGTAAATGGATCGTATTCCCTATTGACTCATTCCACTTCACCTTAAAGCAAAAACGGTGTGTGACTATGTGTGTGTGTGTTTTCTTACCATTGTTTTGAGGAATATTATCAAATCTCCATGGAGAGTGGAAGATGACTTAGATGAATTATAACTATAGTTATTAAACCATTCCAAGCAATCGCTTGTTGTTTGAAGTCGCACATCCAGACATTGTTTGTTGACTTCTGATTGTATTTCTTTAATGCAATGCTCTATGCTATAAAAAAGGAAAGAAAATATGGTAGGAAGAAATTATGACTCCATCTCTTTACATCACAAGTACCAAAAATGTTTATATGTGGTATCTGCTTGCATGCAATTTATAAAAGTATCAAACATTCTTATGATATGAAGATAATATCCAAGAGACTACATATTTTCTTTTTGTTTGTTTCTTTTTTTTAGACATGTTTCCTGCCTGGTTTGTCTCCTCAGGCATTGTCCATAGGACTCTGAGAAGCTGTAGGAATGTGCAGGCGCAGGCTCAAGGGCCAGCTTGATCTCCAATGTTGTGGGAAAGGACTGCACATCACGGGGCACTGAGCCCTGTGCTCCTCCATGCCACCTGGACAGAGCCTGGGGAGAGGGACCACTCGGGAGTATCCACGTTGGAAGAGACTACATATTTTCACCCATAATTAAAAAGTGAGCATCCACACTATCTGGCAGCACGAAAAACCTAAAGCATCTACTCAGAGATGAATGAGAAACTCTTTTGTTTTTAAACAAAAAATGAGCAGAGATCAAGATCAAGAATGGCTCTCTTGACAGGCAGTGGATGGAAAGCAAGGATAAAAACTCTGATGACCATGAGACCCAGAAATGCATATTATCTATTGATGGGTGAATAACTGTATCAGTTATAGAACACAGAATCAATGAGATATTAAAACAGCTCCAAAACTTGTCATTTTGAAACATGTAAGTAATACAGACTGTGTATAATTATTACAATTAGGTTCCTTTCTCCTGCCATCCCACTCCATTCAAAACAAAAAAGAAAAACAAAACATACAAAAATGTTATTTGAAGGCTGGAAGGAAATGAGTAAAAGTGTTCATAGGCATAATCTTCAAGTAATGGAATTAATTTCTAAATTTTAATAGGCGTATGCATTACTTTGAACATTAAATTCTTCACTTAATAGAGAAAATAAATGGCCAACAAAACCTGACAAGTCATAACTGTTTTAAAATGTTCATTCAGAGTATCCTTAGCTCAGACACTAAACAAATGTGCTATGTTATTTGAACTTTCACATAAAAATCTGTGCATTCATGGTGAGAAATTTTTAAAAATAACTAAATGTATCTTTGAGGGGTAAACTATTGACCATAAGCAAAGAGACATCTGTGGAGCCCCATGAGTATGTCATACTACTACCACCTGATGGCAGCATATCTAAACTGCAAAAATGCTTATAAATAAGCAAATACTTTTAAGCTAAACCCCTTCACCCCAAATTGAGGGCTTTACATTTATTTTGTTTTATATACATTAAGAAAGATTTGGGACTAAAAGTTAAGGCTACCATTAGAAAATATCATAGACTATATTAATTCAAGGTTACATGTGATAAAACCATGGGAAACTAAGCTCGAATTATCACAATTGTCATATGAAAGACTCTTCTAAATTCCTCAGGTATGGGCACCCTATAAAACTTACACTGCAAAAATTTAAGGAAGACTTTACAGGAGGAGACTTCAGAGCCTAAGTGAAATCAAACTGAATTACCTGGAAGCAAACACATTCTGGGAATCAAAGAGTCTTTTCAGAAAAACAAAGAACTTAAAATGAAAAACAATACCTGCTCTGGCCACAGGCCACTTTTCTGATGGGACAGCCTTATTCAGGAATACCAGTTGTAAGTCTGACAAGAGATTGGTATGTTTTCTTAACTTTGATGGACTGAGAAACATGATGCCCTAAGAACACACCTTGACTCTAGGGACCCTTTATCAAAGGGCTTTATTATATCATCCTCATGTGTCTCATTCAATGAAACCTAATGGATTACAGCAATGTGAATTGGAAAGGCTCAGCGGTTAGTCTACCTAAATCTGTTTCAATCAGGACTCAGCTTTTAGGCTAATCTCTAACATCTGAAACTGGGTAGAGGCCAATAACTACAACTTATAAATAGGGTAAAGCCTTCAGAGGGCTAGATATTTTAGTAATTTGTTCTACCACTGATAAAAGGATTAAGCAGTTGCATTTCGGGGACCTCCCTCAGTGATACCAACTAAAACAGTTAAACTTACTTTTAAAATCAACTTGTTAAAATTTTTTTTAATGTAAATCATTCATTATCTGTATTTGATTTGGTTTTTAGTCATGTAAAAGTTTTCTTGTTGCTCTGCCAGTCACAACTGTCTATAAGTCTTGCTCAAAACACAGACTAGTTCAAAGTCTATGCCTTTATAATTACCTGATATTTATACAAAGGAATATAAGCAAAATTTAAGATCTAATTCAGTTTGGTATGTAACCTGACAACATACTATGAAATTACTATGTAATTAAGGTCAATGTTTTTGGTTTTTAGTGAATTTTCAACACGGAAAAGGCAACATTATTATATTATTTTCAAATAAGTAATTTAACATTACTAACAGGGGAGAGGCTACAAACATTCTTAGACTTAGAAGATGCAAGATTTTAGTCTAGTTTTCCTGACTATCAACTTGGTATTTATTTATGGAGTCCCTGGGTGATGCATGCTGTTAAGCGTCCAATTCCTAATAGAAAGTTTGGCAACCTTTACCCACCCGGAAGGAAAGGTCTGCTTCTAGATCTGCCTCTAGAGGTGATAGCCTTGAAAATCTTGTGGATCAAAGCTCTGCGCTACAGCATTTGGGTGGCCCTGAGCTGCAACTGACTGGATGACAATTGGTTGGATGGCTTGCATTTATTTTAAGGGTTTAGCTATATGATGCTTCAGACAGTCTTTAGATGTAAGATCAGTAACCATAAGTAAAAGGTAATTCAACTAGCACATTTATTATTTTTGCAATATTTAAAAATTCTACTGACAAAATATTAAACAGTAGAGAAAGCACCAAACAAAGATGGGAGGAATACATAGTCACCTTATGTGTTTCTACCTCCCACACCCAAAGAAAGTAAAAATTCAAACATACAGGAAGTAGAATATAATGACAACAGATATAAAGAAGAAATAAATCCAAGCTACATTGCAAGCGCTGATAGACAACAAAGATCTCTGATTTTTAAATCTTTCCCTACCCTCCAAGGTTTTAAGAGTTAACCTATTACCATATGTGGTTCTTCCATGCAAAAGTATAGCAATGTGGAGTACATAAAAATCAAGGATAGACAGTGTCCAATGAAACAAGAAGTTTAGAGGTAATTGCCGCCACGCTTGGTCAATTAAACTGTGGCTATATCTAGAGTTTGCCCCACAATTTCCACTCTGATACACCCAGTGTGTCTGTTTTATTCTCCAGTTCACTCCCATAATGTCTGGACATGAACACAGTGGTCCCTAAGGCCATATGCATCAACTAGCACATTTAATTTTAGATCTCACGCATTAGGGCAAAAAATGTAATATATCTAAAATAGTGGAAGCAATCTTCCCTAAATAGTTGAAATTCGTAAGTATATGGCATTTGTTGGCTCTAAGGTTTTTAAAAAAGCATAGTACCTTAGCTTTATTTGTAATATTAAAATCACTGGAAACAATTTAAATGTCTATCAACAGAAAAATTAATAGTTATATTCATTCATGAAAGAGCTATAAAAAACCAAAAATACACTTATCAACATTAATGAATCTTATAGCCAAGAATATAATGTTAAGGAGAATAAATTTTCAAAGGAACATGCATAGTATGGTACTATACATAGACTATTCTGAAAATATGTGCATAATAGGTACTGTTCAAGATGACAAAGACGGGTATCACGAGTATATGGGAATACACTGAAATGATTACCAACAGATTCATGAAAACGAAAGTCTGACAGGGTTGAAGATGAAATTGGGACTAAACTGGGAAGAGGTAAAGGGGGAATTTCATATTGGTAACATTTTATTTATTAAATTGGATAGTGGTATGGGCACCTAACTCAATTATTTCTTAATAAATATGAACTACAACTAGCTTTAAAAGTCATAATGACAGATTTTTGCATGTAGATGAATTATGCAAGTAGATACATCACAGAGAAGCTGTGTGTAATTTTTAAAATACTTTTAAAATGCAACATGAGTGTGCTTTTTAAAAAGGATATCAATGGTAATTTAATTACTGAGTACCCATGCCTATATTCCGTGAGTATTAAAAAACAATGCCTATCGAATGAAGGAACATATTCAACAAATTATGTTTGTATATATTAGGCATTGAAATATATACCAAAGATCCAAATATAAATATGACATTGCTCCATCCCTAAAGGAATTCTAGAGAGAGATAGACCTGTATATAAATAATTATGCTAACACGTGTGTGAGGAGCCTTGTTATGGTAGTCAGGTATGTATTGGGCTGCTAACCACAAGGTCAGCAGTTTGAACCCCCCTGGTGTTCCTTAGAAAAAAATTGAGGCTTTCTGCACCCATCAAGATTTACAACCTTGGAAACCCACAGGGGCAATTCTACTCTGTGCTATAGGGTTGCTATGAGTCACAATCAACTTGATGGCAGTGAGAAAAGAGGTGGTTAGTGTATACCAACCAGGAAAACACAGGAGAGAGCCACTAAATGTGTCATGGGAGGTGTAGATAAAGTTCAAGGAGATTTTATTGAAAAATATTGATAGTTTTAACTTAATCTCTCAAAAATCAGTGCTGATCATCTAGTATCTAGTAAACTCACTTAAAACCTATATTCAGATAATAAAAGTAAAATTTCATTTTTAGGGTCACACTAAATTTTATGTATGTTGTATGTATGCATATTATATTTATATACTATCTTATGTGCTCCCCCTTCCACCTCCACTTCCAAAAGAACAAACTCACTGCCATTGAGTCAATGATGACTCATAACAATCCTTCTCAAGCACCATCATGCAAATGTCCTAGTAAATTTCCAAGATTATAATTCTTTACAGGAGCAGAAAGCCCTGTTTTTTTCCCATGGAGTAGTTGGTAGTTTCAAATTGCTGACCTTGTAGTTAGCAGCCCAACATGTAACCACTATGCCACTGGGGCTTAATTAATAATTGGCACTAAATAACAAAAACAGTTCAAAAACCAAATAACATAGGGCTTACAACTACTTCCAAACAAGCAGTGATTGAAAATCCTGTGGAACGGTTTTACTCTGACATATGTGGGGTCAAGAAGACTCAGAATTGATTCAAAGGAAACTTAAAAATAATAGGTGGGTAAAGTCAGAGTCAAGTAAAGGAACTGAAGAAAAGTGAAAAATAATTACGACTAACATCTTGAAACTTAAACCTATTAAGGCTCCTGTAAGACTTAAAACACATAACCTTTATCATCCAGTCACAAAGTTATTTAAAAGACAGCATTTTCCACTGGTGAAAATTATAATTATTACGATGCAATACTTATAAAATAATGTATGTGTGTGTGAGCTTTCAGAAGTTAGAATGTTTTCATTTTTATGTTTTAGA